AATCGATGAATTCTTCCTCTTCATGATGCACCTTGCTTTGGGCCTCAAGCAGAAAGACCTGGCTCATCGCTTCCATGTCCATCAGACTACAGTGAGCCGCATCATAACCACTTGGGCAAACTTCCTCTATTTTCTTTTAGGCTCCGTGCAAATTTGGTTGCCGAAAGAGAGAGTACGAGCCTACCTGCCAAAGGAATTTAAGAATTTCCGAGACACCCAGGTTATCCTGGACTGTACAGAGCTCCGCTGCCAAACACCTTCGTCTCTGCTATTACAGAGTGAGGTCTTTTCCAACTACAAATCTCACTGCACCTTCAAGGCTTTGATAGGAATGGCACCTCATGGTGCAGTAACTTTTGTCTCTGGACTGTATGCGGGGTCAATCAGTGACCGGGAGCTGTTCAAGCAATCAGGGATCATCGACATCCTTACCCCTGACATGGCCATAATGGTGGACAAGGGCTTCTTAATTGATAACCTGGTACCATGCAAAATCCACAGGCCTGCTTTTATGACCAAGGGCACACAAATGTCTGCTGGAGAGGTGAGACACACTCAGTCTGTGGCCAGGCTCAGGGTGCATGTTGAACGCCTGATCCGGAGGTTGAAGGAACATAAGTCCATTTCTGGTAGCATTAATCAACTGTTTGCAGTGTCATGTCTTCTCATTAACTATCAGAATGGACCACTTGTCAAGGCATGGGCCCAGTGAGTCTACACAGTGTCATTCTTGTCTGTGTACTAAATCTTTTAAAGTCTTTATTTGGCACATTGAAATGTTGTATATATACTGTTGTAAATATGGTCTGGAAACTGTCTAATTTTCTTACTATGATTGCCTAATAGATTTTTTTGCTTGTTGCTTTTGTCTCATCTGGGATGTTTTTTGAGATTGCCTAATAGATTTTTTTGCTGGTTGCTTTTGTCTCATCTGGGATGTTTTTTTGACTTGCCACATATAATTCTGTTAACTATCAGAATGGACCACTTGTCAAGGCATGGTTTGAAATATTGTAAATATTTTCTGCAAACTGTCTAATTTTCTTACTATGATGGCCGGATGTTTTTTTTGCTTGCCTTTTGACTTGCCACATATAGTTCGTACCAACATTCTTTCATTACTGATACCTGATAAATAACATTCTTCTTGACCAGTTGGTTCATTAAAAAAATAATTTTACAATCCAACTTTTGACCTCCTTCCTTTGTTAGAGCAGCCATACTTGCAATTGCAACACAGTTCTAATTCTGTCAATCTTCTGCCACCTGCTCAAATCTTTATTTACAACTATGGAGAAAGACAAGACTAAGATACAGTATTTTCAAGTGTCTTTTCTATTTATTTGAATGTTGAGTCATAAGTTATATTTATGAATTATATTTATTATGATAGTTATCTACAACATTCATTCGCAAATATTTAAAGCAAGCAAATAAATAAATAAATACGTACACAAAATCCCTTTCAGAGCCCATCAACAGTGAACAACAGCAGTATACAGTGTAACAGTAAAACAATAACAGTATGTGTACTGTATACTAAGTAACGATTTCCATTTTGTATAGACTTGCTAACATGAACAGTAGATCAGTTCGGATATTGTATAGACTTGCAAACATGAACAACAGATCAGTTTGAATACTGTATAGACTCGCAAAAATTAACAATAGATCAGTTCAGTTATTGTATAGATTTGTAAAAATGAACAATAACACCTGAACTCACTGAACTGATGGAAACTGATTAAACTTATTGAAAGATACTATGCCCAAGGCCATTGGAGTGACTTACTACAAACACTTCTGTATGTAGTGGTAAAAGAAAAAATGATCTGCTCTGTCTCTAATGGTGTGCATTACATCAAGATCTTTATAAATTCGCTCGACTAACATGTCTTCCTGAGCACAAACGACAAAATCACACCACTCTAGCCCTGTCAAGAGCATCTGACCTTGAACTTGCCAGTAGTACTTGTGCTGCCTCCTGAGTTTCAAAGCACCACCGGACGTTTTTAGATAGGGGCAGTCCACATAGCTCTGGATATTGGGGCATTTGACCTCAAGGAGACCAAATGGTGGGTTCCCAGAGGGATCAAAGATGACTCCATCAGGAGAGCTACCTAGCCATGGAGCATCAGGATGTACAATGAACCCGCAGGGTGAACAGTTCACGTTTTTAAGAGTGCAATACTCTTTAACAGCGAGTGGCTCCATATCAATACTTCTCCTCATGTCCGTGGTCTGACCAGTCCCCCTGAGAATTCTCTCAGCCAGATTCTGATGTCCACGAACTTGGCATACCTCGTGGAAGCGAGTAGATGTCACTCTCATCTTTCTCAAACGATGCCACTCCTGGCACGAACTCTGCCCTTGTGTTGCAGCTTCTATCCTGTGGGCCATGTTGAATGACACCTCCAGAGACTTCAGGTGCAGATGTTCCTGCTCTGATAGAACATAGGCACAGGATTGTGGTTCGAGCCTGTAGCTGTGGATGGGAAGGGAGGGTGAGGCAGGGGCAGATGGGATGTTGATGACTTCCCTCATTGCTGGTGGTTTATGCTGAAATGACAGCACGCTCCCTGCCTGGACAGCTCCAAAAGCAGACTGGACTAACGGGACATCAGCTGACATGCCCATTGTTGTTACCAAGGGTGCAAGTGAAGGGGGAAAGTCTTTGTACACCTCTGATACTCTCAACATGGCAAGATCCGGCAGTTCCCCATCTAGCGCCTTGTAGAGAGAACTTCTGAAAAATATTACCAGTAAAAAAAAAATAGTATTAAAGTAAAAATCACTACACCAAACTTCTGCCACAACATACATAAAACCACACCGAGATACGAAGTAAAGATAATCTCACCTTACACAGTCTGTTGTTGAATTTCTGGGTTTTCGAAACTCCATTTCTCCAACTGGGCCTGGCCTAACACCCTAACATCAGAGACACATTCAACATGGGATCACAATAGTTACAATATGCACAGTAATAGTACAGTTCACATGTTACATGACTTACCAGTGTCCTTGGTTTATGCCAGATCTGCTCTGTGTCTGTGCAGCTGTGCACCGGGGGAACAGCAGGAATGTTTAGCTGCGAATAATGGGCAGTCTGATAAAGAAGTGCAACCAAATGATTGCATAAGGCACAGCCCGCCACACAGGAACAATGGCTGCTCACCAAAACAACAGGTTTTGAGTGCTTTAACACCATCTAGGGAGAAATAGAAGCTTAGATTTTCACTTTTCTTCATGGATCTATGATAGACTGCCCTCACGCTGACCTCTCCTGTCACCTTGTCTTTCATTGACACTGTGATGGCAAGATCCGGCAGTTCCCCATCCAGCGCCTTGTAGAGAGAACTTCTGAAAAATATTACCAGTAAAAAAAAAAATAGTATTAAAGTAAAAATCACTACACCAAACTTCTGCCACAACATACATAAAACCACACCGAGATACGAAGTAAAGATAATCTCACCTTACACAGTCTGTTGTTGAATTTCTGGGTTTTCGAAACTCCATTTCTCCAACTGGGCCTGGCCTAACACCCTAACATCAGAGACACATTCAACATGGGATCACAATAGTTACAATATGCACAGTAATAGTACAGTTCACATGTTACATGACTTACCAGTGTCCTTGGTTTATGCCAGATCTGCTCTGTGTCTGTGCAGCTGTGCACCGGGGGAACAGCAGGAATGTTTAGCTGCGAATAATGGGCAGTCTGATAAAGAAGTGCAACCAAATGATTGCATAAGGCACAGCCCGCCACACAGGAACAATGGCTGCTCACCAAAACAACAGGTTTTGAGTGCTTTAACACCATCTAGGGAGAAATAGAAGCTTAGATGAGATATTGCTTGACAGATAAAGCATTAACAAGAAAAATAATGCTGTATTCTGAGGCTCACAGACAAAATATGAAAATGTATTAATTTTTAACAATATGATACAGGCCTATTTTGCTTGGATAATGTTACTTTTATTAAGCTGACAGGCAATTTATCAGCTTGCCTAACCATTGCCCTAACAATAACCCTACTCTCAAGTCGTGTGGCTTTTCACTTTTCTTCATGGATCTATGACAGACTGCCCTCACGCTGACCTCTCCTGTCACCTTGTCTTTCATTGACACTGTGAGGAAGAACGACGAACACACAATTTGAGACTGTAACGTTACATTTTTACACAGTATCTTGACAGTATCTCTATAAAAGAAAACTCACACAAACTCACAATCGAAAGTTAGCTGACAAGTCTGTCAGTCATAGTCGAACAAAACAGCTAACTTTAACTTTAGCCATCTAATCGTTCAGTTAACATTAACGCTAACGTTAGCTGCTACAATAACATTTCAATGTAACGACTTACCCTCGTAATTATCGATGTAGTTGGCGATATACATCTTGAATCCCTTTTCCCGTTTGCTGGAGGGAGTGGGGCATGACTTCTTGACAAGTCGGTCCACATCATTGATAGTCAGACGAGGTAGGTCTTGAAGACAGCGAATGTAAAAGAGTGCCATGTTTGCCGGTTTGTCTGTCGGTCAAGTGAGCTAGAATTTCGCGGTCAGTGTAACAGGAAGTTTGTCAGCCGGTATAAGCCAATCCGGAATTGTGACGTGCATTGAGCGCATAGGAGTGAAGACTCTATCAGTGCCGCTCACAGGACAGAGGCAGAACAGGACAGAGACGGAGTTCTGGAGCGATTTCACTGCTTTATATGAATTGACTATAACCACATACATGGATATAAAAAATATTGTGTGGAAAATAAGTGAGTTTGATTCATACATTGAGGGTTTGTGTTGTGACTTGTATGATGCAGTGAGCAGTTTAGCACTGGTTAATGATTTAATGCACTGAGCACTGCTGTAGTTTATATAACAACACTCTCCAAATGCAGAATGCGACTTTTATTTCTTTTACGTCTAATTCCTAGTCAAATTAGAATGATATCTTAGTTTTACCAGTGATATAGTTTGTGATTGCATTTTCTAAAGGTATGTCCAGAATGTGCAGTCTATAATAACATTAGAGACAAAGTCGCTGGCGGTGTGAACGGGGATTAAGTGCTATCAGAAAGAAAGCTGTTCCTTGTGTTAAAATGGTGCTTGTTTACATTTACATTTACATTTAGACATTTAGCAGACGCTTTTATCCAAAGCGACTTACAATTGGGGGATACATAAAGCGATTCTTCTTAAAAGAGGCAAACAGATACAGGAAGTGCTTGTAATACCAAGTTTTTAGACATTGTTCAAATAAGTACACGCTAGAAAGAGAAGGAATAGATAAAGAGATAGAAGTTGTTTTTTTTTTGGTTTTTTTTTATGATGATGAAGTCAAGTAGCTTCGAAAGAGATGAGTTTTCAGCTGTCGCTTGAAAATGATCAGGGATTCAGCATTCCGAACCCTATCCCTATGGGAAGATCGTTCCACCAGCCAGGAATGATGAACGAGAATGTTCTGGGGGGAAAGGGAGCGTAGGTTTCGTCTAAAAGTATTGTTTAACAATACTGAAGTAGATTATGTGGTTTCAGAAACTCACTATTAAATGAGCTATCAAGTATAGCTATGTAAGAATCAGCATGTAGATGCTGACAAATTAAAAAGAAAAGCAACATTAACAGGCGGTTTCCCAGACAGAGATTAGGCATAGTCCTCACCCTTTAAAGAGAGATAAAGGGCCTAAGAGCACAAGGCTACGAAGAACCCTCCCCCCTGACAGAATGAGCTACTGGGATCTGGGTAACATCAAGCGGGTAGCATCTGACAAAATTTATGGGGAGAGGCCCAGATTGCATTGGCACAGACATCCTGCTAGGAAAACCCCTTAAACAGAGCCCAAGAGGCAGCCATGCCCATAGTAGAGTGTGCTCGGAGGCTATAAAGCTTCTGGAAGTTGTAGCTTCTTGCCCATCCATGGCTCACTGCTGGTCTACACGTTTCCTCCTCTTAGCCTGATAACGCCTACCCTGTTCTGGGTGAGAGAACGGAGCCTGACTTTGAATGAACAGCTGGTCACTCTCTCTGAAAGTGCTGGTCCTGTTGATGTAAACCCACGGGGCACACACAGGACATAAAGCATTCAGCCTCTGATGCTCTGAACCCCAATGTGTTTAAGTTTGCCTTCTCAAAGGCCAAGCCCAGAGGCCACCCTGTCTGGGTGAGGGTAGAATATTTCCCCCTTATAGAGGAGTGATCTCTGCCAGCTATGGTGCTTTGGGCCACCTGGGTGCTATCAAAATTAGAATCAGGCTCCATTCTCTCATTCTGGCCAGGGTAGGCGTTATCAGGCACAGGGAAGGAAATGTGTAGAGCAGCACATTGGGCCTGGCACCACGCTGAGAGGGGCATCCTCGTCCCATTGTGAGAAGTACATAGGACAATTTGTGTTTTCGCATGATGCAAAGAGATCGATGGCTGCCTGGCCGAATGTCTTCCACAGCAGAAATACTACTTGTGGGTGGGGGTGCCAGTCTCCGTAGAGGGGGTTCCCCCTCGACTAGAGGTATGCGCCCCTCTTCAGAATGCCCAGGACATGGGTCACCCATAACGATAGACTAGAGAAGTGATGACTGTCTGTACACTATAGCTCTTAATGTTTACCTCTTAAGCCTTTCCCAGTGTGCTGCCAAGTTTGTCAGTTCTGCCTGTAATGTCTCCACTGTGACACTGTCACACAGGACACATGTGGTGATCATCATAGAAGATCAATAATTTACTGAGTTTCACCAGAGCTGATTTTGGGAGCCCATTTTGTTGTATTTCAGCAAAATAGTTTGGATCCATGCAGGCAAAATCTGAACATAGAGCTGCACTTGCTGTGTACCGTTGGTAGATGATATCTTGAAAAGTGTCCATGATGACATTGTCATCTTGTCAGCGTAATGACGTTGTGACTCTGTACTCTTTCAGAGAATCTGAAGATGGCTCATCCACTGCCATCTCACCTGGCATCACCATTTTCTTCCTTCCTTTTGTCTGGGAGGGTAATTTGGACCTTAAAATTATGATCATCGTGCTCCTGTAGAATTCTGTGCAAATTTATATTTTTAACACCTTCAAAATAACAGGTGAACCTTTTCAAGTTGTCTTCTTTGCCCATAACGATGCAGTGAGCAGTTAGCAAGTCCATGCCACTTGTCTGAAAGTAATTTGACAGTGGTGTAGTCTGAGCAAATTTTCAAAGAAAAATGTGCTTAGTATGGAGTAATGCCTCTAAGTATCCTCTGGCTTTCACTCTCATAGTGGGCTACATTGCATTGTCTTTTTCCATCTTTATCATGGTGGTTACTGGTCAATGAAAGGTCAAGGTCAATGAAAACATGCCCCATCAGGATTTCCAAAATAACGAAAATAAATAACTTTGTGGTCTTTGGACCACCACTGTATTTCTCCTGTTGGAACAATAATTCTGTCTCCTGTTCTTACTGACCACCTCCCACACTTTCATGCATTTGTAGGACCAAGCATGAATGTGGTGATGTCATTTAACAGGGAGAAAAGTGATTCACTTGACACTGCAATTCCAGTTGTGTCTGCTAACACAAGATTAAGTATATGTGCATAACACCAAACATGAACTGTGCCTTTTGTGTGAAAAGTGCAGAAAATAGCTTGTACTGCTCTTGCATGTTTGCAGCCCCATCTGTTCAATCACCAACACATTCCTTGATGTCAATACCAACCCTTTCCAAAACTCTCTTCAGCAAAACAAGATTTTCCCCAGTACAGGACTCACACTCAATCACTGCTATTAGCTATTATCTCATTGATGCCATCTGTCACATATCTTACATTGATACTTAGATGTCAAATCTTGTGTTGTATTCATTTGTACTGAATACATCCCAGCTTTCTTAACTTCTTCAGTAATGTTTTGCTGGATTGAGAGACTGATGACACTAATGACTGTTTAGTGTTGTCTTGGACTGCAAATTCGCAAGGGAACCTCTTCTTTTATGTCCACTGTCATGCAACTTTTTTGTCTTTTCAGTGCATCCATTGACATGTCCTTGCAGACATTACTAATTATAATAATCATATATAAATATGTGATTTGACATGGAGAAAATGTGCTCCATTTTGTGTAATGCAAGTTAGAATGTGAAGCAGTTTGATGATCATTACCAAGGGCACTCTACACTGCACTGTCAAATTTCAACCACATAAGATAACTTTACTAAAGGTCTTCCAGGCCTATAACAAA